TGTGCTGTAGACAGAGTACACGTGCTGGATCCGTGTCTGTAATATGTAAGATTTGAAAAAAGCCTTGTTTTTCCCTTGTCTGTAATATGTAATAAGATGTTTTATAAAAGCAAGGACAGAACCTTTTCGAAATCTTACCTCTTACATCTTACAGAGACTTGTGTTCTAAGATGTAAGATGGAAGATAGGAGATAGGTCCTAATTTTTTTTTCTATTTTTCTCCATTTAGGTTGTAAACTTTTTTTCTTTGTAAATTTAGCACGCGTTTTTATTTGCTGTTGTAACACTAGGAAAAGGTACTTTGATTTTGTTTTGCAAATTTAGCACGCTGATGCAACTATCCTATTGTGTAACATCAGGAAAAGGTACTTAACATTTGCAAAAAAAGGCGTGTTTATGTGCTGTTTGTTTTGCAGACGATTTATCTACCAGGAATACCATTTATGTTGTTTTTGTGTTGAATTCCCTTGGGTGCAATTTATTTGGAAAGGCTTCCATCTAATCTAGTTTTGTGGCGGTTTTCTTTGTTGCTTATTTGATTGCTTTCTAACAGGGAGTATAGGATCTTGCTAACAGGGAGCATGGGATGATGACTTTTTCGGATGTAAGATTTTGTGTAAGATTCTAAAATGTGCCTTGTTTTTCGATGTCCAATAATTTGCCACTACTGAGAACCTCCACCACCTCAACTTAGATAAAATCAACCCACAGGACAGAGACAAGTGGCGAGCTGCCATCAAGCCCCAGCTGTACTGTGCAAGCCCGTCTAACCCTCGGAAGACAGGGAACAACAGACGATAAACCAGACAGTGACAGTGAATGAGTGAGTTACAAGCAACATGATACACAGTTGACCAGCCAGAAAATGATTTTAGACTGCAAAATAATAAATTGAATCTTATCTTATCTTCAATCTGTAAGGTCTTCCTGGCAGATTCCCATGCATGGCAGTTACTTTGTGATACTTGATACTTTACCTTACTTTGATCCCGTCACATGTACATGTTGTATCCATGGAGCCCTAACAACCCCCCACAGAGGGACAGGTGAGGTCAGGTGTATCCAGAACTATGCTCAGGCACAGGTCTGAATAATTCATGCAGATTATTCAGAACCGTGCCTGGGGCAAATTTACGTTCTTGGATGAAAGGAGACTATCCAGAACCGTGCCTGATCCTAACCCTATCCCATTCAGGCATAGAACCAGATAGGCACGGTTCTGGATACAATAGAGACTATCTAGAACCGTGCCTGATCCTATAACCCTAACCCATTCTTGCATAGAACTAGACAGGCATGGTTCTGGATGCAATAGAGACTATCTAGAACCGTGCCTGATCCTATAACCCTAACCCATTCTTGCATAGAACTAGACAGGCATGGTTCTGGATGCAATAGAGACTATCCAGAACCGTGCCTGATCGTAACCCTAACCCATTCAGGCATAGAACTAGACAGGCATGGTTCTGGATGCAATAGAGACTATCTAGAACCGTGCCTGATCCTATAACCCTAACCCATTCTTGCATAGAACTAGACAGGCATGGTTCTGGATGCAATAGAGACTATCCAGAACCGTGCCTGATCGTAACCCTAACCCATTCAGGCATAGAACTAGACAGGCATGGTTCTGGATACAATACTCAATAGGTACACATAGACATGTATGCTAACCTCCTGTTGACTGATGCCCACATGAGTGAGGTAGGTGAACCCCACAGTAGACAGAGTGTGCACCAGGCTCTGAGCTAGGGTCTCCAACTCTGCCCTGCTGGCCTCACCCTCCGAACAGGACAGGCCGTAAGCCGAGAAGTCGATAACCGGGATCTCTTCAGCCATCCTCACTGGACCTGCGATAAGGCCACACCAATTTAATTTCTTGGTTAACGGATTCGCCTCTTCATTTTTTTCTGATTTGCAAATAAAAATAAAAATTCAGCATCAACTGCAAAATGCTCATATTTTGCCCTGAGCTGTTGAAAACAGTCCTTTTCTTACTACTTGTTAGTCATTCCATCTTTCAATGCAGTGCTACCATCAAAAGCTCAAAATTCATTGTTCAAATTTTGAACCAGCCTGGTGTGTTGACTTCATGGCTCCTATCGTACCATTTTGGGCCATAATAGGATGCCTAGGCCTGTTTTTATTTTTTTCGCCCGCCCGCTCCAT